ACATTATAGAAAATACTTTTAAAAAATTAACCGTTTCGGGCATTTAAGATTAACAGGTTCAGGGTTCGTGCTAACAGATCAATCCTCTGCTTCTGGCTTCTTAAGAGAAAGAATCCCTACGTAGTTGCATGTCTTTTGTGTATCTATATTTTGTGTTATTTTTTTCTTTTCTTGGCCCATATTTGTTGTTCTAGTATTTATAGCACTTTTTACATTGCTTTTTAATTTTTAATACTACCAGAATTGTATCAGAGGTAACTTAAGGGTTCAATTCTACCTCGAGCACCTGGCCTGGGTAATATCAATATATAGCATTGTATTGTAATTGCATCATTTTGAAATCGTAAATAAAAATATTACTAAGAGAACTGATCATGAATCACCGCGAAAGCCATATCAAATGTAAGTATTGTCACTGTCGCGGTACTAGTTGGTATAAAAGTCACTCTTCAAATAATCTGCACACAAAATTCATATCATAACTACGCTCCAAAACGACATGAAAGAAGAATAAACAAAGAAACACCTTGCTATAGAACGTATTGTATGATAATTTTCTTGTAGAACTCACTGTGATAATAGTTACATCAGAATGCAGTTAGTTAGTCCCTAACATTCGGCAAATAAATATAACACTTTACGTTCCACAGAGGTTTACAGCAAACTACGGACCTGTGTTAATAGTCCTAGATGGATCTCGTCCTAAAGACTTAACCCTTCCGAAGATAAACTAAAAACTGGCTGGATACTGTGACAATAACCCGGGCGACCGACACAAATCTGGCTGAATGGCCACTGGACCCAGGCCTTCGGCGCAAACTATGAGAAACAGCGATGCTGCGAAGGAAACATACTTTTATATTGTTATTTTACTAAAGCATTAGCGCATTAGGTTGTTCGTGGAATTGGTGACCAAAAATTTATTTTCTCGAGCTTCTCCGTACTTCGGTAGATCGGTGCATCTGCAAACGTTAACACCCTCCAAATAACACTGCGTCCGACGATTCCATCTGTAGGAAGGTCTAGGTATTCACCAGCTGTAATAACATTAGTAGAGGAATGATGACTAAACCCTTACATAACTATTGAATTAATTTTAATTATTTATACAGTTTATAAACCTGTACGGAATAAAAATTTATTTATCTTATAAATAAATATACTAATAAAATTCGAAATGGCGGCTATATGCTCATATATATGAAGACAATAACTAAACGACTTAACTATTTATGTTACTGAATATTAAGGCAAATATTCAGTAACATGAACAGTTAAGTCTTTTGGTCGCAATTTAAATAGTGTTTAATTGAAAATATTTTCGTTATACCTTGAATTAGCTAGCCTGAACCCTGGGTAAGGAAAAACTGGTTTTGCTGCTTTTTTTTTATTTAATTCTTGATCACAACAAAATCGCTCACTGCTATCACTTGGACCGTCCAATATTTTGCGGATATGTGCAAAAATGTTCCGGTTAGACCCACATTACTCACGTTATCTACCTGCAGCTAATGGCGGCAACCCTTAAATATTACAATATGATAAGTGCGTTAACTTGCCAGCCCTATCGTGTTACCGGGTCGAACCGGCCGTATCGCTGTATTCTGGGGTTATGTGAGGTCAATATTTAGTTGATATGTATAAGAATATGTGTATGTGTGTGTTGTCCTTTCTTGTTCTAAGACTGAGAATAAAGACAAGAAGAAATGACCGGTTAATATAATAACAATAGACACAAAACTCCACCAGACTTCAATAGAATTTCCATTAACATATGAACCGCCTCTAAAATGACTAGTATTAGTATTATTTTTCACGTTTTTGAAATGATTGGTGCCTAAATTACGTATTATAGCAACCGACTTACTGTTATATAGCAAATTATACAGTGATCATTTCCATTTCAACAGATTGCAGTCAGACCCTCGCATTTATTTCGTAAATTGCTATGAGCATACGCAACACCAGCGTGACGTAAATAGACTGGCTTCGATTTGGTTGGCATTGGATTCTATCAAAATGCAAGGTTGAGTAGTTTGATATAGTGTGGATGTTCAGTTTATATGGTTGAATTAAATAAAATGCACTCAACGTGGAATACACCTTTTGAGGCTGAATTATAAACCGTAGAACCCTTGACAATTCACAGTAAGTAGTTTAGATATTTATTAATATTCTCTACACAAAAAAAATGTAATGGGAAACATTACTAACTTTGTAATTTTTTTCTGTCGATAAAAAATACTATTATTCGGCCGCTTTTTTCTTTATACAAGGCCAATTGAAAATTAGTGATTTTTTGTTAGTCTTATTACAATGAACATCGTAGAGTGAAACATCTACTTAACAATGTTATCGTTTTTTCTATAAAATAAAAGATCAGATAGATGTTGTTAATGCAAAATTTATCAAATATTACAATTATTACAAATAACATACAGAATTTATAACTTTTATTTTTAACAAAATCGCTATAGACTCCTTGGGTATAATAAATTTTGGTGTACACGAAGCCACGGACTAAAGCTAGTGTAATCATCATTTTTAAACTAGATCCTCTCTTATTGTATTCAAGAGAATTCATTACCAAAGTCAAGTTCCAAAGCAAATCTATCTGTCATTTAAGTTAAATTATGTTAGAACAATGCTCCCCGGCTAATTCACAACTTCAATACGGAGCGAGACACACAGTTGGCTAAGTAACTAGACTGTGATGAGCCGGGTTTGTGTGCGCTTATTATACTAATTAGCAATTTCACGCCCGGGGTAGTAGTACTGTATTATGTTAGTCTGTGACGCGTGTAAGAGGTTTCGGGCGCTGGTGTGTTATTTTGGTGAAGTTTCCTTAAAGTATACTAGGATGCGGACAAATTGTATCAAGGAAAATATGCCTATTAAGATTAGTAATTGATACTAAAGCCTCGTACAAGAGCTCAACAAGATGGCGTATGAGGAGGTGGTCTGGAATCGTTTCGGAACAGCCCTGCGCAAGTCGGTCCGTGCCGCGACGAGATAAGTTCAGAATTAAAAGGCGGAGGAGGTCCGCTCCAATTTGCATGTTTGCCCAGTTTATAACAATTAGCCGTCGCGCCGGATATTTTTCTTTATTACCCGGATTAAACCGGACCGGTCTTGGTGTTGCATTCGCGAGCTCTAATTGCACTTTATAAATTAATCGCACTATCTTAACTACGACTCACACGCTTAAGTGCATAATAAAATCATTTGAAAGTGTGCATATAAGATTACAACGATTTTACCTTAAAATACCTTTCCTATTAGTACATGTCATCAACCATCGACTTCCTGCAATGCCTGTCTGGGCTTCCAGGTAGGGTATTTACAACGAAACATATTCGCTATGCTTAATAGGATTGTAGACCTTGTTTCTATAAAAATCGAGTTTTCGAGAGTTCGATTATAGGGATTCGAATTTTGGAGTAAAGCCTGCCAGGAGGAATAGTTCTGATGTGATGTTCTTGTCTACAATTTTGATGTTCCTGTGATACAAGTTCTTAATCCTTCCAATATTTCTCTTCTCAGCGTCATTTCCCATCATTTTAACTTGACTCAAATGTCCCACCCACCAATCTTTCCAAAGCATGGAAAAGATTATAAACAATAAAATTTTCGTTTGGTATTTTGCTATATATAGCGCAGTTGAGTAATTCAAAAGAGCTTTAAAATCAAAGTAGAATATTTTGAAATTGAAAAATAGAATGAAATAATTCTCAAACTCGTCGACGAGCGCAGCGCTGTCACAGCATTATGGCTCAATCAAATGAAACCTACTTCACATGTAACAATTGTGGCTCGTTTCATTTAAACTCTTCACTGACGTCGAGTTCCAGGCTGATTTTTTTACAGAATATAAAATCTGTATTGTTGGTATTGTAAAATAATTTCGATTACAAGTTTTAATGTCTTAATGTAGTTCAGTTGATTATAACTATATCTAATTAAGGGTCCGCAATAACTGTCCCGAAACGGCGGCCGCGATAAGGTTCCCTGCGCAGATTAAATAACTTCGCCCGTTAACCGCAGTAAACGAATTTAACTAAAATAATTAAACTCCGTCCAAATAACGTCATTTTATTCAAATGTATTGTTGTTCGGAGTGCGGGGCATTTTGATGAAAGTTGCCCGGGAGCTGGATTAATGATACTTAACCACTTCCAATGGTACTCTTGGTCACCCATCACAAAATTACAGTTTAATTTGCGAATTTCTATTGGATCATTAGGAGTAGTTCGAATAATAAGCGTAAAATCCTTACCCTTATCTTAGTCATTGTTTTACAAATACATTCTTTATTTTCACCACGGTGCACACATACAATTGTTATTATTATAAAACGCCATCAAGGATGTTCTATTCGGAAAAAGATTCTTCAACGCCCCGTACGACACGTAGGACGATCGATTTGCTTAGTAAGCGATTTTTCAATACGGTAGAGTTGTCTTCTTGTCACAACTCATTATTGCGTTTTGTGCCACTTATCTTAGGATCAATTTGCTTTTACTAAAAATAAGTACAGCATTATATTGTCATACAGCATAGTCACCAACCTTATTACCGACATCGAGATAGTACCTTTTTCTTTTTAGCACTCCCACTGATGTAATTTGCGCAAGAGTCTGGTGGTTGGGACATAACATCTGCGTAACGTTTCAACATTAAATCGACCAGCCTCATGAGGTCCGCTTGCCTCTATTGTCTTAATTATATTATATTAGTGAAATAATAACAAAAAAATCTGTAACTCTTTATAAAAAAATAGAACATTGTAATTTCTAACCAAATATTTATTTCGAAAACAAAAACAATGTCCGAATGTATATTTTAAACAAAAATGTAATGAATTCGAGTGTATTGGTGAATCAAATAGCAAACTCGTGAATATAAACAATGAAATCGCAACGAATTTTATTACAAAGGATGGATGGAAATATGCAGTATCAAAATTCGTTTACAGACATGAATCTGTAGTTATTTGAACAATGAGACGAACTTTTAATTACATTTTGCTGTGTGTTCTGTTGGATGGATATGTGGATGTGCTGTGTACGTTTACGCAAATTGTGGAGACGAGTTATGGTAAAGTGAGGGGACTAAGGAGCGTCTCCGGACAAAACCTGTTTTATGGAATACCGTATGCGACCAGTGAAAGATTCCAAGTGAGTAAATATGAGCTATTCGCTCATAGATTATTTAAAACTAGCTTGATTAAAACGGAAAACAATAATAAGGGAGTTAGGTCTTAACGTTTTGGATGTGGACTATTCTCTAAAACAATCCAAAATCTCCAAAATCACAAGCCATCCGAAAAAATTGTGGAAATCCGTGAGAATCTTTAGATTTTAAAAGTAGTTACTTATAATATTTTAATCGATATAACAGGGTACTGTGAATTTGACGTCTCCTTGTGGAATATAAAACTGCAGATTTATTTTTGTCCGCAAGCAAAGGGTCTTCAACGCGGTCATACAGCTGTTAATTGATACTTTCACTAGATGGCGCTCATCCTTTTTCTCTCTTATCATCACCGCGGTGTTAAGTTTTTAACTTTTTTGATTACATAGTGCACATTTTCTAAATTTCATTACTCTGGTTTCCCTTCAAAACGCATAAATCTTTCGCCTTTTACTAAAGATTTCCGTGGAGGGGAACATTCAAATGAGTCATAAGGTTATTTTTGTTACTCTATCTTAGATAGAGTTTATTTATTTAATTAATAAATGTAAACAAAAAAGTCAGCTACAGCTAGGGAATAAAGATGTGATGTGACATTGTACATTAGAAAATGGATTTCTAATTAATCATATTTTTAATTTATTATAGTATGTAAAATCTAATCTATTAATAAATAATCGATTTTGATGTTAGTCGTTTTTGTTCTTTTAGTCGTAGACATTGTTAAAAATTATTTTTTTTAGTAAGACTAATATAAACCCTTTGTCACTGTTAATTTTCGAAATTTCTATTTGAAAAATGAAGTATCACCAACCAATCATGAATTACATAAATATCAACCAAATATCGGTAAATCAGTACAATTCGTTGACTCCATCTAGTTAATGTTTGTTTAAATAAATCAACTAAACTGTTTTAAAACACAGAAGGAATACCATCAACGGAGATAGTATTATAATAATAAAATAGGTATTTAAATTCATTTCTACTTTTAAAATATTCGTTTAGTTTTTTATGCCTGCAGCTCAGACCAAATAAAAAGTAAAGACGGAGTTCGCTGAATAACAAAGTGAAGCCGATTTTTAGCAATTGTAGTGTGCGTGCCAGTGTGACCATAGTCATAAAAACACCCCAATAACTTAACGTTACGACGTTATAGAGTTAACGTTAACGCTATGCTATTTAATAATATAATGTAAATATTCGTTTGTCAATATCAGCATAGATATTCTAAAATCTTTAAGAGTAGGTAATTATTATTGGAGGCCATACATTAGAGAGACTATTTAATTAATTTTTAAGTTAAGTTTGAAAACTTCCACTATGTTAACTAAAATTTTAATATATAGAAAGTTTGAAACCTTTGGATATAAGTTTTGCTTTACCCTTTTATAGTATAATACATATCATCGCTCTTAAAATGAGTCGAACAAACTACGCTGCGCGAAGTTGGATTCCATGAAGGTTCATTTCGACTATTAGGAATGACTGAAATCCACTTCTCTTTCACATTTTGATGTCGGTTTGGAAATGAAAAAATGTATGCAAACCCGTTTAGTAAAAATAAAGAAGTAAAAAATTAAACCCGTTTTTTATTTTTTACTTCCTTATTCTAACACTTCAATATCTGTGATCTGGACCTCTATAGCATTTTGAATGCAAAATTTATTATAAATATCATTTCCATACAACAAGAAAAAAATACATAACGTAATTTGTGTTTTGTAAGAAATAACGCGTTATAAAATTAAAGTTACCTGATTTTGGGGTAAATAATAACGTTTAACGATGGTAATATTTGGCTGAGGTTTTGTGTTCCAAGCAATTACTTAAATTTAATTTTTTAATTACTGAAAATGTAAGTTTTCTCCAATACTTATGTGTGAAATGTGATTCCATCTTGCTTTTTATTTTTTGAGGATTGGTTTTTACAACCTTTTACTACGCAATTCGGCAGTTAGTAAGAAATTTTTGATTTTTTTAATAATGAAACGTTCCGCACACTGTCTATAGTTAGACTGATAAGGAAGGCGTAGTTTCGTTATGTATGTGTGCGTGAAACTGTGTACGAATACGCCGAGGCGTAGTTTTGTCGGCTTCACTTTTCTGTTAGGCAAAACTCCGTCTTTACTTTTTATTTGGTCTGAGGCCTGCAGTAACAAACTGGCTGACACTGACTGACTAACTCATATAAATAAATAGGTATATGTATTTAATTATAACTTAAAGCTGTTTTTCTGCTACTTCACCCCATATAAATTATAGCCTATTTATGTCACCAGCGTATGATGTAGCTAATTAGCTACATCATAACGGGAACCCATTCAACAAACGTGTTTTCATAGACAACAGTAAGAAACCTTCGTGCACAAGTCGGACTCGCAACGGGGCGATTTTTTATTATTTGCTGAATAATTGTTGTCTTATGAAAACTTTTTAAACCTTTTTTTCCAGCCACCAAAAGAGCCAGCCACCTGGGATGGAATCTTCGACGCCGTCCGGCGGTTTGGTGCCTGTTCACAGACAGTTTCTGTTCTGAAATTAGGCTCGGAAGAATGCCTCAACCTAGATCTATACGTTCCCGAACGAGCGAAACCAGGGGACAAAGTGCCGGTGTTGGTCTTCTTACACGGTGGCGCGTATTACTACGGCAGCAAAATACACTACGATCCTGAATTTCTAGTCACGAAAAACGTTATCACAGCCATTATCAACTACAGGGTCGGCGTGCTCGGCTTTCTCTGCCTGGATGGAGTCGCCAACCTTGGACTAAAAGACCAAGTTGCAGCCCTGAAATGGATAAGAAAGACCATCTCCGCATTCGGTGGAGATCCAGATAACGTCACCATATCTGGTCAGAGTGCCGGTGCGAGCGCCGCAGCGATGCATATGCTATCAGAATCTAGCACAGGATTGTTCCATAAATTGATCCTCATGAGTGGGTCACCGTTAACTCCCTGGGCGTTCAATACCGAACCTCTAACAGCCGCTTATCAAGACGCCAGGAAACTCAGTCGGGTATCTACAGAGAAAGACGTACATAATTTATTCGCAAACGCTTCTGTTGATGAAATATTGAGGGTGTCACACGACACTTCTTTAAATCCTAGATATTTTAAATACAGCCCTTGCATAGACAGCAACTTCTCAGAACCGTTTTTCAAAGGCAGTCCTTTCGACCTCATAAAAACTGGTCGTTTCAATAAAGTGCCAATACTAACGGGCGTCGCTAGTGTCGAGGGTTTATTGTTTTATGGATTGAACAATGAAAAAACGTTAAAAGAACTCGACGAAAATTTTGTAGAGAGGCTTCCTAGCGTCTTCTCCTGGTGCTCGAAGGCGGATAAAAGAAAAATCGCAAATAAAATGCGGTCGCACTACTTCGGATCGAGACCCATACGAAAAATGCAATTCAAACACATTATAGACTTTTATTCTGACTGGATAGCGCACAGTACATCACAGGCTTTCATAGATTTGATGGTGAAATCTTCTGGTCAACCTGTTTATTCATATTTATTCAATTACGTGGGGGACCGAAACTTTGCGAAGGTACTGCTGGGTCAAGGTTTGGATGTGGAAGGGGCGTCACACTCTGATGATATATTCTACGTGTTCAAACCGGCGGGGCTGTCTCTGCTATTGTCCAGTAGAGATCGGCTATTCATAGATCGCCTCACGACTATGCTCACCAACTTCATGAAGTACGGGTAAGAACTTAGGATTTTTAAAAGTAACTTAGCAAGTAAGGAGGAAATTCAAGTTAGTATAAGATATCATATACCTTCATCCTCCTCTATAGCAGAGTAGTCTCGGGTTTGAGTGTTGAGGTACCTTCGTTGTTTTAAACCCCTACAATATCATCAGAACAGCTGAAATAAGTAATAAACAAAATCATTATATCAAAATAAAGAAGATAAATCAATATAAGAGTAGCAGTGGTTTACCATCCGGTGTTTTTTAATCTATAAAATGCTAATATTATATTAATCCGAGGGTAGTATCACTTCACTCAATTCACAATTCACTCTACAAGTTCATCTTTACACACAGATACAAAAAAAACCTTTAAAACCTCATCCGTTTTTCAATTCGGTTAAAAATAAAAAACCTTCGCCGAAAAACTTTGTGAAATCTTGGAAACAGTTGCAGTTATCATTAATTTGAACAAAATAATATAACAAGCAAGTACTTATTACATTTCCAATTGCTTATTGTGTACAAAAAGTCGTGTTACAATAGCTACTTTCTATTAAGCCTCCATTAAGCACGGAATGAGTAGAACAAAAAAACTACATTAGCGTCGTTATGGGGAAACACGGTGACGATAAGTAAAAATGTACGGCAGTTATTCAAGCCATCTGGAAAACTGACGCGAAATATGACGAAGCACAAACGGAAAATAAACAGAAATATATATAATCTTCTCAATAGATATACCTACTACGCCACTCATGAGGTTGGTAACCAAAGAGGGTGACGGTCCATAAGGGCCTTATCTGGGCCTGAAATTTACTTACATTTCAGGTTGATCATATTTATAAAATCACTGTATTTAAATATTTCATAACATATGAGGGCATATTAAGTTTTCATTAATATTTATCATCCTATTTTCATACCGGTTGTTCAAAAGCATAAAGCTAGCAATTTTTGTATTTTTCGCCAAAATTAAACCATTTTCCTTAGAAAATGGTTTAATTTTGGCGGTTAAGTTTAATTTAGGTAACTTAATATAGTTACCTAAATCTTAGAAAATGGGTTAATTTTCTTATATGAGCGCAGTGGCGGAACACTTTCATTTTGATGTAGGTATGTTTTTGTATCGGTATGTTTTGTCATAGATTTAAATTAGAAAGAGTTGTTAAATCTTCGAAAAGTGGTGAATTTTGGTGAAAAAAAACAAAGATTTTAGATTATTTCAGAACAAACAAGTATTCAAACATGATAAAAATGTTAATGAAAACATAAAATATACATGTTTTGAAATATTTTAATACAATAATTTCATAGACGTGATCAACATGAAATTTAAGTAACTTTAGTCCCTTAGACCCTCATCCTTCACTGTCCACGTTCACTGCCCATGCTCCACCGTCCTTAGGAAGGCATGTGCAGCCAATGCGTTGGTCCCGGAGGCATGTGCAATGGTTAACTAGCACCAGCTATACAGATTGAGCCTGCATCTGTCTTTATTCTTTATCTTTTTTTAAACGAGAAACTTTCTTTAAGTCTTATGAAAAAAAAATAATGTAAAAGCTTTTGTTTTTCTTCTTTTACAAAGTAAGTAATAGTCTAATGTGACTATTTAATCGTGTAAGGTTGTAGCAAATCTAGCGATTAGAATAAGATCAAATCGCTTTTTTGTAAAATAAAGAGTTTTTAATAAATTAGTTCTTTATTTTAACGTTTCCCTAAAAAACATTTATTTGATCAAACCATTATATTTATCAAAAATGAGTATACTGAAATGATAAAAAATTGAACGTTCCTTTCATTTGTGCCCATTTTTATACAATTATATTCAATGCATATCGATAAACTATACACTAAATTATTATGCAAAACTAACATATTCCTGTACCTAATAGATTTTATAGGTACATATATTTTTTATTAAACTAATTTTAATATCTATTTTAGAAGTGTGATATTGTATGCAAATCTGTGTGTTCATAATAACTTTCAGTTAACGTTTTGTCTCACATCAATGTATCATCTCATTCAGAGACCCCACGCCGTTCAAGACTCGGCTGCTGCCAGTGCGGTGGCCACAAGCGAACACATCCCTGACGATGCGGCTGGACAAGCGGCTATCTGTCATCAGGATAGTACCAACCGCGCACCAGCGGTTCTACCTCGACCTCCTGTGCACCTACGGACAGGCAGGTTACGTGCCATGCGAGAGCGCACAGAAATGCAACACCAGCAATGATGCACAGCAGCACCAGGGGAGCGCGACCGCCTGAAACTCTAGCTATCTCTAGCAATCTCTAGCCACAGCTTTTGAGAAACAGGCAAGGAAGGGTCCCTTACACGTCACAGAAATAAATAAGAAATATTCACTCATTAGTTTTATTAAATAGTCTCCTCATTAATGGATATTCTTATAATTATTAATTATAGAACAAATTTAAACAAAATTAAGGTAGAATATTAATTAAAGCCTTACATGTTTGTTTAAATATAGATTACATTTTTAAGTTATCTTCTACGAATATTCGATGACAAAAAGAAAAAGCCTTATAGCGTTTAAATCTATTCGTATATCTGCTTTGTACAAATAGGTTTAAATAAACACAAAAATCCGAAATTGTGTCAAGATTTCTCTCGATCGGGGTTATCTGGAGTGGATTTCTGGCCGTCTTGGGTGGGTGGGAGGAGCGCAGAGCGATATAAACTATAAATCTGCAAACACGGCCCTCAAGCGGACTGCCGCATGCCGCCGATTTATAAATATGCAGATCAAATATTAAAAGGACAGCGCAAGATGATCCCACCGCCACACACAAAGATCAAAATACGCAGAAGAGCAACTCATTTATATACGCACTGTGACAAAAACATATTAGTTATATTATATTGACTTTAAATCCAAAGCTTATATTCAATTGTCTTCTGGTATATCTCATTAAGTTATATAAAACTGATGAATTTCTACTCTCGATATTAAGCCCGAAATGAAGTGTTCGAAATATAAAACAATAAATATGTAAATGAATTTATTGCTGCTCACTGCAAAACAAAGTCCATCACGAACTAGATAATATTTTGTTACAATACAACATTTTTATCAAAATGTGAGGTTGTCTTCCATCTATTATATTTTTTCCAAACTCTGAGCCACTGAAATTATCATTTTACAATTAAAATAAATAATAGGTAAGTGTAGTGCGTTCACCGTTCACTCACACCCAAATCAGTTTTGTAAACCAATATCTGGTAAATAGCTACAATTCTGGGAATATTCGTATTCGTAGCATCAATAGTACGAGTTGGTGTTCTTCTCGACATTAAAATGTCTTGCGCATAATCTTTGACGGGAGCGAAGAACGGTGTAGTGGCTTCGTCTCAGAATAAATATTCAATGTTTTCATTCAATTTCTCGCGGTCTCTAGAGCGGTCGCGGCAGGCGGGTGGCGGGCCGCGGACTGCGGGCTGTCGGAACAAAGATACCGCAACAGGCGTGCCGTGCCATTGGAAAAATATAACTCGCCTCACCATTCAACTATCCAATTGCTTTTTCTATGGTACCTACTACACTATCAGAATATTGCACAAGTTTCGTTGAGAGTTCAACTGAAAGCTATTTCTACAGCTTAATGCGGTAACGCGGTTTCTAAGTTAATCAGCGCGTAAATCAAGTTCAGACAAAAAATCATGGGGACTTATTTATTACGCTGTCACTTGACAAATTTATCGTATTTAATAAGGTAAATAATGATTACTGTAGACACAGCCGGTAGTGAGTAGCCCAGTAATTCTACATTCAGAAACTACCTAACTCATTGACGTTTATAAGACATACTCTAGTTTACATAACCCTTATTTTTCTTCTTATGATTATATTACAAAAAGTAAAGTCGAAAAAATCTACTAACACAAGTTATTTTTATTAACACAAATTCTTATTTGAAACTTTTAGAAACTAGGAAGCATCATTATTGTACCTAACTACTTAAAAATACTTTTTAAATCAGATGAGTGCAGGGGATCGAGGTTACAGACAATTTTAGAAAAAGGGTCACCTGTGTATGCATATATTCAACAATATAAGTATTAATCGGGGTAATTAAGCAAAATTATACCATATTTCGGTGTTACGATACTTACGTGGTAAATCCTTCGTTTGTTTAGGATTCCACACCCATTTTAGAATTAAATTTCGATCAAAGTTATAAAATTTTTAGATGATTATTGAGCAAATAGGTATACCGCTGAGCTTTAATCTATTTACATCGCCACAGCAGTGACACACATGCCAAATACAAAATAACAATTCGTCGTTGCAAAGTTCAATACTTCTATTGAGCTGGTTTCAAGGTGCTGCCATCTTCGAGATGCCGGGTTCGATTCCCGGTCGGGTCAATGTAGAAAATGAACTTCTTTATAATGTCTCGGGTACCTTTATTGTCTCAGATATCCAATAATACAAGGGTTTTAGCTATTTGTTTGGAATCTGAGCAATGTATGTGATGTTGTCTAATAAATAAAATAAAGTGTTTTTAGCCAGAACTTGCTCACTTTAATATGGTATGATATATCGACGAGATGTATATGTATATATTCGACCGGTACAATTGAAAATGAATTTATTTCGATAAAACTTAACGATCGTAAGATAACGGAACATTGAATAATTATGATAATTTTGAAACAATTATCGGGATTGCGAATTCGGTTTTGCACTGTAGACCGAACTGTTCGTTTGATAGGGCTGTCACTGTTTCCTTTAAGTATTTTTTTATTATCGTTTTATAAACGTTTTTATTGAAAATATATAAATATAGATTTGAATATTTTTTTGACATGATTAGTTATGATAAGTACGTGTTATAAAAGTGTACTTATCATCATTCATAAAGAATGTTTATAAATATATTTTTTTTTGTGTAAATAACAAATGTACATAGTTCATTTACCTACTTTTAATATAAAAAAGCAAATGTTACGCGCTCAGTTCAAAGATCGACATGTAATAACGTGCTAAAAGATTTACAGCCAGTTGCACAAACTTCCATTAAAATTTCCATTAGTTTAAAGCGACATTACCTATACAAATTTGACATTCATTAGAGCTTAAAGACGTCATTAAAGCTTAATGAACGTTTGTGCAACTGACTGTTAGTGTACTGATGGATTTAATGCGTTTGTCGTGCACCCTCTTTATTATGTTGGTTTTACGCTAATTTTGCTTGGCAGTCTTCAGCGTTTTAGTGTATTTTAGTCGTTTTGAACAACGATAGATGTTAGGTCAGTTAATTAACCTTGTTATGGCTACATTCAACATTAATACAAATGTCTACTGCAAGACATCAGAGTAACTCTATAATATGAATCTGCTAATAATTATCTATTTTAAATTATCACTGAATGCTTTAAAACTATACTAAGGTAATAATGTTATACGGTAAAAGCTTCTTATTCGTACCTTAAATGTGCTCCAAATTAAAAGTAATATGTATGTTAAAATAAATACAGTTGAGGTAAGATTATTAAGAAACTACCAATTAAAATCAATCTGTATTGTCAGCTTTAAATAAGGGTTTTTAAAGATTTTATTTGATATCCTTTTTTACAGTTTTTACATATCTTTAAATTCAGATACATAACTTTTTTTAAAGTATTTATTACAATGTAGCAAAAAATACAGCGCGTTATAAAAGTCATCTTGACACATGCCATCTTTTAGAAATATTTAAAAGATGACGATGCGTTAATGAATGACGCTGAATACCTTTATGTTACCGATTGCATTTATTAATAAACAGATTTTAGCCGCGAGTTCTAAAATTGAGTTACAATTTTTTTCACCAGCAAAAATGAAGCCGTGAATAAGGATCTTCTATTGTACTTTGAACGGCAATTACTCAAAGTAACTAATCTTGTACTTTAAGTAAGTAACGTTCATTAAGGTTTAGAGACGCCTTAAGCTTTAACGAATGTCAAAAGTTTGTATGGGTAATGTCTCTTTAAACTAATGACAGTTTTAATGGACGTTTGGGCACCTGGTTGTTACCCAAATGTCTGTATATCTGATTTCATAAATGATAGTCTGATATTTTCCATTTTTAACAGACTTCAAAAAGGAGACTTCTATATTCAACTTTGTTTAATTGTTTTATGAAGGTGTGATTACACCTTTTTCTATGTGAATTATATACCGAATTGCAAAATCTTTGTTATTTGAAGGAGTTCTCCTGAGGCAGTACCATAAAATTTGGCACAGTAATTCTATATTTATAGAACAGTAAGTAAGAATGTTTGACATGTTTCTTTAAGAATATGTTTAACCCGTAATAAAGAGCATGAGTGTCAGCCCTACCGTGTTCCGCAGTCCGCACCCAAAATCCTGATGATTATTGGTAATTTACGGCGAGCAACGTTCTGATAAAATCGTTAAAATCGCCTCCCAGCTGAAGAATTACAATTGGCATTTTTATGTTACCGTTCGCATTTCAGGCCCACTCATAATTTTTATTCGTTTTATTATAATATTTTGTGTGTGTTTTATTTTAATAATACGGTGTTACTTACCATATTTACGAGCACAATCGTCGTAAGGCTTTTGTTGACAAAAAATTTTCGTGAAGTTAAATTATCACTAAAGTCGCCCTTTTTAAATCTAAATCATTTATTACGTCTAGGCTGTTACATAGCACTTGTGAAAGTCGAAAACTATGTCGACTGTTCGCAAAACTACGGCGAGAGACCTTCTACTGAGAAGTACCGGCAAGAAATTCAGCAAGGACTGCTTTTTCTCCCTGTTTTACTTCACACTGAGAAATATTATTATAAAGCGACTTTATTAAAACTATGAAGTCACTTTCCATTACAATATCAGATATAACAAGACAGATATTTTCGATTACTGATTAATATGCCGGTTGCCGAGTCATACATACTCATTTACATATATACAGTATTCATAATAAAAGAAAATGGACGAAATTAAGTAGTCCAGAGCAACTGGCAGATTCATTCCCACTGGCAGCACCCATTCACGTGCATGACGCATGAGCCAGCCATCGCTTCGATCAACCATATTTAAGCATACGATACCACCGCAGAGATTTTTAAGAGAGCGTGACTACTCTAGGTAACTTATGCAGTGAATTAAGGAAGCTAGTTCTAATACATCTATCAATGGCTGCAAGACATGGCACATAATTCATAGGCAAAATGTTAGTCACATTAGGTTAATAAAATATCTAAAACCATGCCTTTACTCTGTAGACAATTTTTAATA